TCCTATGATATAGGAAGAAGACTGACTTTACTGATTTACATGAATGTTTAATCTGTCAGACATTCCATATTTAAATGTAAATCTCTTATGTAAGATAGAACTTATAAAGATAAAAATCTAAATCCAGATAGTGTCCTAGCTAGATGAGACACATTCAAATCAACAAGAAATGCAAGAAATAGTTAACAATTTCCCATTCATTTTAAGTTGTCTACTCTAGTTGCTACTAACATTGGATTTATTCCACAGTCAACTGACGACTTGAAGGCATATACACACAGAGAGAAATAATTCAGAGCCCACCAATGTTTATAATGCAGCAGACAATGTACCAAGCCCTGAAAAGTACAACATGCTCAGTACAGGACTCCTATCAAGAATGGCATCCTTTTCCCACAGCAAGTTCAGCTTTTCCCATTATTCCTAATGTTCAGTCTCATTTACCCAGTTTATCCCATCATCTTCGTCCTTGCTCTGCTGCAATTATTTATCCATAACTAAAATGTGTTGGGTTTTTTTTTTTTTTGCATTTGTTTTATTGTGATTTTTCCCCTGACAGTCTGTGCTAAAGGGTAACATGTATAACACTGCCATTCCCATCTCCTTTTGTGTCATGTCTTTTTAGATTGTAAGCCTGAGGGCAGGGAATTAACTATCTGTAAGCTGCTCTGAGAACCTTTGTGGCTGAAGAGCAGGATATAAATACAATAAATAAATAAATAAATAAATAAATAAATAAATAACATAATAAATAAATTATGTTTACATTTACATTTATATTTATGCTGTCTCATCCTCCCCTTCCTCCCCTCCTTCCCTAATTTGTATCTCCACTTTTCAATACCACTTTCACTGCTATGGTGCCATTCTACAGAATCCTAGAATTTGTAGTTTGCTGGTGTTCAGAGAGATGGACTAGGGTTTGCAAGCAGAGAACTCAATACACTTCATAAATTACAAATCCCAAGTTTCCATAAGAGAGAGTCATAACCATAAAAATGGTTTAAAACTGCCGTGGTTGCACGGTGTAGATACACTCTCTGTACTGTATATCTTGTGATTTTAGCAAATGATATGATTCATCCCCCATGTCAAGACAAGATCAGTATGCTGATTCCTAGATAGTGGCAGGATTGGTTACATTTTTCTATCAGGGACATCACTGGAGGGTGGCGGGTGCAGGCTGCACCAGGTGACACCCTAAGAGGGGGTGATATCACTGTTCCCCACTGCTTTTTGGCAAAAGAGGCTCTGGCATTTGCCTATGCCCCTTTAAAATGCTGAAGAGATGGTGTGAGTGAGGTGAGGCCACAGGTTGTTTTTTTTAAAATTACATTTAATTTTTAAAAAAATATTTTTAAAAATATTTTCAAAAATATTATTTTAAAACTTCCTTTAAAAACACCACATCTTACCAGATTTTCACCTCAACCATATGAAATTATGTAAATACATTCAGGCTGTGCATATTATATTGTAATTTAAAGATATAATTTTAATTTTGTTAGCTATTTATGTCATAACTATTACCATTATATTCAGTGATATCTGGGAATTACAATTTATGAGTAACATTACTACTAAAAACATAAGGATTGTGTATGGTGTGGGATGGGAGGAGGTCAGTGTGTGATACCCTGAGTTTCCACACCATATGACACCAACCCTAGTGATGCCACTGCTTTCTAGTAACAGCTGTTTCTGCTGACAGTTCACCTTTTTAAAAAGTTTTGAGGTGAGAAGATTTTTGAAGAAACAGTCCAAGAGAAGTGGTATCCAGTCAGAACGTTTTGTTCGTCCCAGCGAGAGGAGGCCTATTGAATCAATGGGATTTATCTACATATTGACATACAATTCAATACCTGATTCAATTGATGTGCTCTAATTGTGACATACCCATAGGATTTAGGCCTCAGTGTGCTGGTCTGACTGAGGTTTACCTTGCCAGCATCTATTTATTCTTTACATACAAGAGATGCTGGTGGCAGATCTGGTAAAGTATGCAGTGGGTATGCTTCTTGATTTATCAGCCATCCCTGAAGTCCACCTATCTTCTTTTCTCATTTTCCCTGTGCAGCATAAAGTATAGATTGACCTCCACTCTGAAAGCAAATCAGAAGCCAATATTTAATCATGGGATGTTTGACAGGTGATCATTTAGAGGAAAAAAACTGTGCTTCCTAGATTTACAGATCAGTTCAGGGGAGCACTCATTATTTATTTTGGCCTAAACTCAATTGCTAGTCCCAGCTAGGATAGACCCATTAAAGCATTCAGATTTGTACAGGTGTTGATTTACATTCTGTAGTTAGTTCCATGTGCCTACACTAATCAGGATGGGCAATCTTCATTCCTGATTTAAGCCAGGGATGAAAATCATGCAGCCCCCTGCATAATGTTGAACTGCAACTCCCAGCATTCCTCAACAACTGCTCTGCTGGCTAGGCCTTCTGAAAGTTGCAGTCCAATGCTTCAGGAGGGTTGCATAGATCCCATTCCTGATTTAGGCCTTTGTCTACAAAATACCATGGAAAATGAGCACATAAAAGGATTAAGTGGTATGCTTTCCTTGGGTTGCTTCATTCTCATAAATATGTCTTGTAAATATCTGCAAAATGTCTGCAGAATGGTAAAGAGTCCCCACACTTTTTGGCCAACCCGGTTCTCATAAAAATTCAGGGAGGTAACCCTGTGCTTGCATTTCCCAATCTGGGGTCTAATTCATGAGCAAACATTGCATTTCTAAAATTCTGCAATGTGATATTGACCCAAGTGAACCAGAGGTGTCCTATATATATTTAGTCTGTGTGGTTCCAAAGCTATCCCATGCCTTGTCATCTGTCTGCTATACAACAGACAACTATTTCCACCATGAAGAGGTCAGCTCTCCTTCTGCTACTTGCCCTGGTGATCGGTTGCTCTTCAGGTGAGTTGTTGAGTATATTGTTCAAAGAAGTGTTACATTCTAAATTCAAAGGGCATTTGGGATATGTGGAGATATACATATTGAGCTAAGATGCTACATCAAGAGATGTACATGTATCACATAGCTATGTCTCCATAGTTACATTTCCCAATGCTACCCTCCTCCCCCACAAAAAAATTCCACATTTTAAGCAGCACAGCTTCTCCCTCCCAACACAGACATTTTCATGTTGTTGGAAAGAGAGGGGATCAATAGGAAGTGGTCTAACTATTTTCCTTTAGCTGTGACAGGCACCTGCAGACTTCCAAGGTCCTCAGGTGATCCTTACAAGTTATGTCCTTGCAGC